AGTGTTTCTTATCGAATTCATCTCTGTTCGATATGATTAAATAACTTCAGAATAGAAAATATAACACATACTAATAATGAAAGAAATATATACTAAACATAAATGCTACAAATTAAAATAAGTAGTTTCAAAACTTAGTTAAATGAAAAGGACTAAAATAATAAAAATATTTATTAATAATAAATAACAATAAAATATATTATTAAATCATATTTTAATATTTGCATTAATCCTTGAAAATACACAATTTAAAGTTAATGATATCCAGTCTTAAATTAACCATAGATCTGTGTAAATATACATATATACATAAATATAACATACATAAATATAAACAGTATACAAATATACATGATTAACTTAAAGCTATACCAGAAAACCGTTTTAATGACCTGTTGAATTTCGCAAAAATATACACTGAAAGTTAACTTTGAATAATATACATTTATACTTGTATTCAATATATTAAATATTCGCATATAATTTCTTACATTTTAAAAACACATTCAACATAATATTTCACAAAATTATTATAAATTAGACAAAATAAGAAAAAAAATAGGCGTGTGGGTACCTCTCTGGTGTATATATTAGATGTCGAATGGGTCACTGTTATGTGAATACTAAATTTAAATTCAATAACAGATCTATATATAATAAAATTATTTTGAGCAAAGACTGGCCGTCAGCATATTTCATTAAATTTATTTTATGATATTTTTTTTTTAATTTAGCTAATTAAAGTCATTTATTTTACTTTTAATTTTAAGGTAGTTTGATCTAATTTTTACTAAAAAAAATTTCATTTATTTTATGAATAATATTTAATTATAATCATATTTATTATTTGTTCCATATCATATTATCATTTTTAACTTTTGAGTTAATACCAGTTAAGCCAAAAAAAGTATAAATCTAAGCATCTTATCAAATACTCAAATAAACAAAAACACACACACCTATCATTAATTGAAAACTCAATATATGCATCACTTCGCTCAGAATCTAAAATTAAAGATCAACAATGATATTACTAATTCAAAAAAATAGATGGAAAAGCAGTTTAAATGATATTTAAATATTTTATATTATAAAATAAAAAAAATATTACACGAAATACCAAAGTTTTGGGGACAATAAGATAAAGGATAAGGAAAATTTTAGAGGCATAATTGAACAACCAGTGAGACCATAAAAAAATTAGAATGACATTATTTTAATGAAAAATAGTAGTGATAAGGATTTAACGATGAAAGGAAAAGCCATATTAAAAATTTGTGATAAACATTTATATTAACAAAAAAATAAAAATATACTCTACCTAAACAAATATCTATTGCAAAAATACAACAATAATTTGTTTTTCATTAAAATTAGGTTTTATACTTTTTCAATACCTAATCCAAATAAATAACTTTTAGGAATAAATTATTTAAGTATTGACGAATGTATTAATTAAGTGATCAGTGTAAATTAATTTTACTTTTAGTTTTAATAATCAACATTTTGATATTTATATTTTCTTTATTTTACAAACGTATAAACGTAAATGCAAATTTTACGCATCGGTAAAAGAACTAGTAAACTTCATTTTACCTGTCGATTTATACTTACCGACAGATTTATTTATTATTATTGTGAATATAATTTTAAAAAATTACAAAAATAAACTTGAAAAAATATTTGTTTATTATTTATGCTTATATAATGTGTCTTATACATCGATAAATAAGATCTAATTTCCTTATCAAATTAGAACGACAAGAAAACGCCAGGTATTATTTAAGGCTAAAAATCATGATATTATCACAAATTAATAATATCTTATAGTTTATATCTATTTATATCTTAGTGAGTAATTATATATTTACCTTATTTAATAAAACTGCATGATTAAATTTACATCAGTATTCAATACGTGTTATCGTTTAAAATTTACCACCAAACAACATACATTTTTGGAATCAATTAATTGCCGATTAATGGTTGAAAGTGTAGCTATAACTAAAATTCTTGAGAATAACAGCTTTGTTAATTATATTAACTTGCAATAAAATAAACATATAATTTTAAACTTAATAGAAATTAATCATATAATAATGATGTAAATGTAAGTTAAATTTATTGACTATAAATTTCAAAGTTCATTTCTCATATAATATGATGTGTAAATGTTTTATAATTATATGCAGGTAGTTCTTGAACCTTTAGGGGAAAAATAAAAGTTTGCGTTGAAGTGTTTGAAAATTACCTTACAACAGACATCCATTCAGTGTGCAATAAATTAAATACATATTAAAAAAATATATGTGAAATAAACAAATTAATTTAATTTAATTTAATGAATAGTTGTTTTTAATAACTAAATATTGAACTATAATACAAGTCACTTGCTACTTGCTTTATAGTCCAAGAATGATAAACTGCTTTTGAATAAAAAAAAAAAAAAAAACTGAAAAAATTTAATTTATAAAAAATGCAATACCTTAGCTTGATTACAGAGAAATCAGTCGAACTGAATTTACTGTTTATTAGAGACATATAATAAGGGGTAGTAAGAAGTAATGAGTTGATGTTCTTAAAATGGTAAAATAAGGAACATAAGATCTAAATAAATTGAGTAGGGTTGATAGTTAGACTGTAGATTGAATGACAAAAAATGGTGAAAAAATTATTAGTCGAAAAGAATGTTTCAATTACAATTTACAAATCTTAAATAACGTTAAAATACTTGGAAGTTAAAGATTTATATGTATCCGAAGTAGATAAATTAAGACAATACTAATCTATAAAATAAGGATAACTGTGCATTTTACAGATTATTTATGTAGAATTTATGAATTTACAGGAACTTATGAAATACTGTAAAATTTTATCAATTTAGATTATATATTAATTTTTTTTTTTAAGGGAAAGACTACAGTGACTTGTCAAAATCTGTTCAACTCGACACACAGCCAATTTTTATTATTATTATTTTATTTTTTTTTTTTAATATTGTTTTATATAGACATTATGGTAAAATTAATTTTAAAAATTAGAAGAATCCAGTGCTATACTATTATTAAAATTCTACATCTGAACATTTATAGAAACCAATAAAGTGATGGGTATTAAAAAACATTGTGTAAAATGCACAGTTACTCAAATAATAATTGTAAAACAGCTATAATACTAAAGTTATATTTAATAAAATACTATAAATATTTTCAAATTAAATTATTTGAGATTTTTCCTTTAATAATTAATTTTAAAATGTTCAAATAATTACGTCATATTAATTATTAAATTTAATTAAATTACATTAGCGCGTAAACTACCATAGATACCTATATGAAAATAATATGTTTATATATTAATATATATACAAGTTTATTATTATACATACATTTTTACCTATATTATATGATACACTAAAATATTTTTTGAATAAAAATTTATAATACGAAAATCTGGTGTTCAGGTTAAGACTGATGTACATTTTATTGGTGTACAATGATACTATTTTTGAAAGCAGTGATAAATCTTCGAATTAATATAACAATTCTGAACAGTGTTCAGGATCACATTGAAATTTCAACACACACCCGGTATTTTTCAATGGTAAACCTGTAGAAACTTAAAAAATAAAAATCTAAACACGACTTTTAAAATAAACCGAATGTATCGACTATACTCAATTTACTAACTAACCTATCTATAGATAGAATCTAGCATAAACCGCATAAATCAAAAATCTGTTATTATGGTTCGTATATTTTATCGATTAACTCACAATCAAAAAAATAATCACATTTATCGTAAACAAACGTTTATACAATGTTCTGTGACAGATCATAATTTATTCCAATCTTGTTTTATTTTGTATAAACACATTTAGTGGTTGAAAAGTTTTTACCGAACAGTAACATATGTTATATTTTCATAAAAAAAAAAACATTTTTTTGTTCGCCGTCAATATTGTAAATGTCTAAAATTTTCATCTATAAATTTACGTCCAAGTTTTTTAATAAAATCTTTATTCATTAGTTGCATTTAATAGAAAATGCACGAATTGTACATGGTTGTTTTTCTTTTTTTATAATGTTATATAGTATTGAAAATAGAAGACAAGTAACTCTCCAGTAATTCAATTGTTAAACTAAAGAGATGAATGAATTATTAAAAAATAAAATAAAATGTCCCATCCATTATTATTATATTAATAATTTCTCATTATTTTCTATTTTTTTTTTTTCTATTAGTTGAATCTCAAACGTATTTAATAGTTAGAATAATTACTTTTTTTAACATAATATTTTATCGCCAATACTAATGTGTTACTAATGTCATGAAACTCTAATTGAAAAAATTCATTATTTATCCAATTTATAATAATTTTAATCACTAGTGAGTTATATTTTAGTTTTGGTATATCAAGACGTTGTATTTACTTTTAGAATCAACTGTAAAACAAATTATGAGTCTGTATAACAGCTGAAAGTTTATATGCACCAACGAAAGATCATTTTACATGTTATACCTTATAAATGACCGGTTTTACAGAAAAATAAATGTAATATCAATAGGTAAATCGTTTTTATGATGCTTTAGAAATATTTAATTATCATATTTGTCAATCAATAACTCATTTTTTATTTTAAGTCTATAAATGTACATATAGTTTTTATTTATTTATAATTTATCACAAGGAACTACAAATAAATTTAAAAAATTAAAAAATTAAAAAATCAACATTTATATTACATAAAAAACATAATTTTTTCACAAATTAATAATTTTCAATAATAAAAAATGCGTAAAATACATTTCATGTAGGTTTGATTAAAAATAAATATTAAAAAAAAAAACAATCTTTTCAAAATAGGTTTATGACAAATTCTAGTATAAAAAAGTGCTAAGTGTATGAATGTTTATTAACACCGGCTTATCTATAATGCATTAACTTTTAGATGATATTTTATAAACAAACATAAGGTGCAAAATATAAAAGAAATTACCTGAAAGTCCGTAGATCTTGAAAACTCGTAAATTAGTAGATGTTGTGAATTCTGTTTTTAAGAGATAAAAATGTATCTTATTAATACTAAAACATATCACGTTATTTAACTTCAAGAATTAATATTTATGTATTATTCAAAGATTTATCTCATGTGGTACTCACATTTATCTGGCGTAGCGTTGAAATTGTTTATGATTTGTATGTTATAATTTGTTTTATATTTTATTTTGATCGATTTATTGTAAGTAGTGTAAACTAATATGCATAATGCATCAATAACAATAAATCATCAATCACTTCAGAAAAAAAAAATGTAAACAAATAACATGAGAAATTTTAAAATACAACATTGATCAATAGTCTCCAGTCACAGATAACTCACCTAATAGTACTTACTAGTTTATTCGAATAAAATATTAATATCAACCTTGAGATTAAAAACGATTATAAATAAAATTTTATAATTTAGTGTTTAATAATTATTTTCTATCAAAATATTATATCTACTTTTATGAAGGTCATCTCAAAAATACTACAATTGTTTTGAACTTTTATTTTTCACAAAATTATCCAGTATGACATTATAATAATTTCATCCGCATGGTTGTTTGATTTTTTTTTTTAAGATAGTAAAAATCGTGTTCCATAAAAGTTTAAATAGTTATGGTTTACAAACCCATTGTATAGTATTCAACTTTTATAACACTATATTTTTTGAAAATTTTCACATAAAAATTTTCAACTAAAATCTATAGAAAAACTTTATAAATCAGTTAATGAAAATAATAATTGTATTTTCAATAGTCATTATATTAAATTTAACATAACATTCTATAAAAATGTATTACACTAATCAAGTTTATACCTAATGTTAATTCAATTTCATCTTATATTTTATTTTGTTTTTCGAACATATATTTAACTGACATAACCCCAGTGTACAGCCAACGACAGTCTCACAAAATAAAACGGTTGATAGTAAAATAATTGATATAGTATATTATGATGTAAATAGTGTACCTCTGACCCACAGCAAAATTAAATAATTGATGCGTGAAAACGTTTGTTCCTAACGGACAAAGGTGTAAGTAAAAAACTAAACAGTACAAAACACAAAGGAAAAATGTAAACTAACAATATTTTTACATTTCTATCAAGTTTCCGTATAAAAGTTTTCTAAAAAGTATTCAGTTTCAAATTGAAAATTTTAGTTTCAACCTAGTCTTTTACTTAGTTTGACCATTCATTAATTTAAGTAATAAAACACGTCTTGTTTCATACCATAATACATAATCATGGAAACGCATTATAATTATAAGTTATTATTATTTAAAATTATATTTTTAAATATATTTCATATCTACGATAAACTATCGAATTTCTTTTGATGTTTAGTTTCATATATACATATATATTTGACTTTCACGCCAAATTCTTCAGAAAACCCAGTTGCACCTGAAACAAACTATCCACATACCAGACGTACAAAGTTTTACCACGGTATTCAATGAAAAAAACTAATTTAAACTATAACATACTTTAAATCCAGCAGTTAGCATTATTTTTGCCTTTTTTTTTTATATCAAAATATTTTTTATATTTATTTTTGAGTTAACTTTGCAGACAAATCAAATAATTCAGTACTTAACACATTCATTCGAGTTTGAAATGTTAATAAAAATACCAAAACATCAAAAAAAAATTATATTATAAAATTAAGTAATTAATTACAACTTATGAAGTAGGTAAATATTTATGAAAACAGTGCATATATATTAAGCTATCACGAATGATTGAAATGCAAATATTACGACACACTAGTGTTACTTATTTTTTTACAGTCCAATGTATTTTTTATAATTCGTCTTATTTAAATTTTTATTTAACTATTAGAATAAATAATTAAGTTTTAAATCAATCAAACATCACTTAAAACATTATGATATAGCAATTACCTGCTAATGATTAATAAATAAATCCAATTTCACTATTGAGGTGAATTTTAGAACAGCAGTGCAATAATTGTATTTCCTAACCTTATAAAAAAGTATTGAAATTTTCACAACAAATAGAGATAAATTGTAGAAGCAATATTTATTCATTTTATACTATATAAATTTATAAATAAATTATCCCAATAAGATTAACTCTTAAATGCATAGGTACTTAATTATTTATTGTTTTGTATAATATATTAAATAGGATAATATTAAATTGAGCCTAGATTATTACCTTAATATCTATAGAGGCTTTTTAGATAACATTGCCTAACTATCTATATAAGGTTATCTACGACAGGGTTCATCAAAATGAAATACATTTTGTTTCTCAGAACATTCAAAAATGTATTTATTTATTTAATTTATTTATTCTTGTCGACACTCTTTTAGACTTATGGTCAGATACATACATAAAATTACAAATCAAAATAACAAAAACAAGTAAAAAAAAACATTAGAGTAGAAACAATTTTTACAAGAGTAGATAAAGAAATTTACAGATTTGACATTTAAAATCATTATTATTTAAATGTATACATTATTATATAAGTATACGATTCAAACAAGAACACATATTGTTTGGAGTTTACTTAGCCAACCTCTATGTAGAGTCTTCGGGATAACACTAATAAGTTGGAGGTACTCCACTCTAATAACCTTACAAATATTAGTCGGACTCAAATCAATATTGCCGAGTAACTATACTATGTAATAACGTAATTAGACTGATAATAAATATCCACTTACGTAAATTTATGTTTTAATTCAATCATAGAAAAATTATAAATTTCACTTTACAAAAAATTTACTCTTATATTTTATATTTTTTAAAATACCTTTGTCTTTTATTGATTTTAAGTATATTGCCAAACAAATTTAAATTACATACTTTTAATCTAAACTTTGATTATTTTATAAATTTATTTTAAATTATGGAGCTGACTAAAATAATATATGTACACAACTTTAATTCCATTATGTTAATGATCTTTCTATTAATGATACTAAATTACATATTAACTAAATAGTTTTAAAGTTTTTAGGTAATGGATTATTAACAATTTATATCGGCCATCAAAATTGTTTGAAAGTTAAATCAAAAAAAAAAAAAAAAAATAATAATAATAATTACTATTCTATCTCATGAATCGTGTTTCAATACAGTTTTGAATAACAGTCTATAAATAAGCCAAGTATTTAAAAAAAAGGTAGGCAAGTGGGTACTGTACATTAAGTGTCGAGTATTTCGCAGTAATACATAGATGTTTTAATCTATCAATTTTTATCAATAATTATAAAAAAAATAACTAAAAAGTGTTAAAAATTTTAAATAATCATAAATAGCTTAAAAATAACTAAAATATTTTTAAAAATTTATCATGTATAAAAAATTATAATAAAAACATTTGGTAAAAACATAATAAAATAATTAATTTAATTTTTGAATTACAATAAAAAACAAAATTTATTTTATCAAGTATTGATTTTGAGTAAAAATTTACGTTTTTCTTTTAATTTTAATTTTTTTATTGCCTCTAAAAGTAATTACAAATGCACGTTACATACATTATTATTGTTAAATCAATACATTCATCGCTCCGCTTAAAATCTTCAATGATGCAAATATAATATATTTTATTTGTAATACACATTGCAAATTTTAATTTTTTTTACGAATTATTCAAAATCTTTATATTGCAATAGTTAGAAACCGCTACTTTTTTTTTTTTTTTTAGTATCTCATTCAGTCATTTTTTAACATTATTGTCTCTTGAAATTGTAAGTATTCCGATACTTTAATTTAAATTTTAAGTACCAGCGTGAAGTGAATTTAATTTTGTACAATACTGAACCAGGAGCTGTATTAAATACAGAAATAAAGAACTATATTAGTTTTTATTTCAAACAATAAAATAAATAGTGTATTTTTGTCTACATCCAATGCTTCAATATTCATGATATTTCAAGCTCATATTTTTATAACGTGATAGGGGAAGTAGGCAATGCTTTGTCCTGAAAAATAAAATGTTATACTAAATAATCATTATATTATGTATATTAAAAATGTATATATAACTCAATAGAATCAGTTATCAAAATTATTTTCTAGTTCCAAATAATATACTAAACTCTAAAGGTATTTTATACTAATAAGTAATAACAGTGTGCCTAAAATTATTTTTTACCCATATTACAGCAACCAATCGTTTACAAAGAAAATAACATTTTGAATGTGACGTGTATCAGTTGAATTTCTAAAAGTTAGATTAAGCTAGCAAATCAAACATTATGTTCTATTGGAAAAACTAATTAATTTCTTATTTTTAATTACGTAAATTTAAATGAGTTTTGTGCATTTGATCGGAAATTAATATTTCTGATGCGTATTAATAAATAAGTAACTATAATTTACACAATAAAAAGCTTAGTTAAATAGTTCGCAAGAAAACATTATATTAAATACATTTTTATCCTTATAATTTATTGTAACTTAATAATTACTGCCATTTTGTACGTATGAACCGTAAAGTCTAGTACTTATTTACTTTAAATCTGAACTATAAATCATATATACGATATTATTATAAATGAGTAACGAAGTTGATATAGTTTTTCTAGTTTTATTTAATAGTTTAATTGAAGTATGTGAAACAAAATTGTCTAAACATGTTCAATCAAAAATTTATGTTGTAGATTTTGAGTAAAGTATACGTTCTTACAGTAAAGCCGAACATAATTTTATGTAGTTATTGGTTTTACCTCTCTCGATCATAGTGGTGAAAAATCCAAAATGTAGACTCTGACTTATCTATGATGTATAAAAATTAAAATTATTTAAGTGATATTAGACAATGGTTAAAATGAATATGTAACCTACCACTACTTAAATCTAAAAACGACGGTAAATGCGTCGAAGTTAATTTTATGAATATTAAACCAATGAAATAACGATTCAATATAGTTTGTAATTATCTCTTTGATACATATATTAAAATAAATTACAACTTTTCCAACGTATCTTTGAGTATTATGAAAGTGTGCATTTCAAGTGAAAGAACAACAATCATCTATGCATTGTTTCACTCAACATTCGGAAAATATTTTTACTCACCGCGTACAAATATTTTTATTTTTTATGAGGTTTTAAAAATTATTCAACTTCAAACATGAATCAAAATGAATATCGTCAAAATAGAAAATAAGATTAAAAATCACAAGTATAAAAAATAAAAAATCCCAGAAGAAAAAAATATATTCCAATATTTAAATAGAAATCTAGATATTTTTGAATTTGAAAAGGATAAGCTATCTCTGCAAAATAGTTTAATAAGGTGATAAAATGAAAATCTATATGATAGGTTAGGTATACATTTTCCTTAGTTCCATTTCATTTTTTTAGAAAAGTAAAAATTGACACTCAAGACATTTCAATTCAATGACATTCAGTGTACAATACAAATTACAATAGCCGTATAACTCGATAATTTTTCTCCAGTAATTAGAAAATTAGTACAATTCTCTCTATTTTTATTGATTGATAGAATTTTCATTGTTGTTGTAATTTTTTTTCACTGCTATAATAGATTTTACATGTTCTATGTTTTACGTATGTAAATATCTCACTCATACTTATATTTTACTTTTCACCACAATTTATTTTTCTGTAACTATCACATTTTTATTTGAAGAAATGTCTTAACTTTAAAATGATATTTAATTAATTTAATTTCGAAAATTGGTTTTCAAAAATTATTATTTTTTGTTTAATTTTTTTAAGAATTAATAGTATTTCTTACAGTCGTGTGAATTTTACTGTTTAACTAATATAAGTATATATTAATTGATTTTAAGTCTGTTTCAAGTCCCGAAATGTATATAAAATAATTTTAATTTAAAAATAATGAATTGCTTCTCTGTGGGGTTTTAATGCTAAATTACGCTCAAATATTTACAATAATTATTATCGAACCGCATTTAACAACAACAATATTTTAGTCAAAAAAACAATGGAAGTTTATCGTATCGTTTATATTAAACATTGGTATAATATATATGTTTATCTTCGTGTGGCAAGGGCAAAAAAAGGTAAAGGTCAATTTAGACCTTTAGTTAAAATTAGTTAAGGGTAGCGAGTGTATGAATATACATATTAATATATTATATAACTAACTACTGTTTTTTTTTCCTGAGATATGACATATTTAAAGACAAAGTAAATGGCGATTACCCAAGATAGCTTTTTTATGAATAAACTAAGGTTTTCGTTCAATATTTTTATGATATTTCGAAATATTATATGATTTTATTAACAATTTTAGTATTTTAGAAGTTCAAAAATACTCCAATAGTTTCTGTATTTTTTTTTTTTTATTATTATTATTACTGCAAGGGTAAAGGACACGTAAAACAAATAAAATAAGTACCGAAATATAAAAATTTCTAAAACGTTTCTAGGTGTATCCCTTATAGGTACCAAACTTCTAGGCTATGGTAAATACACAGCATGCAGATCACATATTATTATAACGTTACAACTTATAATACAAACTTTTCGATAG